ACAAGAAAATAACCAGATGAGTCAAAATCCCCAACTGAATAATTCTGCCAAATTTTGACTAGGATCCTGCATGGAACTGGTCAAGAACAGACATTCCAAATCCTTAAAAAATACACGTATGATCCGGATCTTGATAAGAAAATACAAGAAACCAGTTAAGATATTTCCAGATTTGTGTTTAGAGACTATTCAAAATTTAATTTTCAGGATCCTGTAAGGAACCTAGCCAGAATGAATGAGATGAAACGGTTTCCTCACGTTCTTAGCTAAGTTCAGATCAGGATCTGTTCAAAATTTAAAGGGTGGGTGGGTGTGGGTGTTGTCTTTTCTTCCTCCACACCCACACGCCCACACCCACCCACCCACACCCACACACCCCACTCACACCCACCCACCCACACCCACACACCCCACCCACACCCACACACCCACAGCCACACCCACCCACACCCAAGGAGATTTTCATCATTCACTAGATAGAATGTTTAAGCATCAACTAATGAGAAGAACATCTCTGTCATCAAATTCAATCGATCATTTCAAGTATTAAATTAGCCAAATTCAACCTTAATGATGACAACAGGAGATGAAGGTGTGCATTTCTTAATGGATTATGGTGTGAATTGAAATTTCTTCGTCTATCAAATAATGAAAGTATTAGTAATTGAAATGTCAAATATAATGATTCGAATGTTGAAATAGAATTAGACATTGATGGACTCGGATATTCTATCGGTTTCATCTTTCCAAACATGGAATAACAGGACTTTTCTACAGTGGAGTTTCTTCAAACGAAGATTAACGACAATTTTAGATGGATTTGAAAATCATTAAAAACATCTTGTCGGTCAAAACAGATTCGGTAAAGGTATTAATTTGATGAAGTATAAGATGATTAATACATTTTCTCATCTTCATTCTCAAGCGGTAATCATAGAAGAAAATTAGATTTATCTGTCATCATGATCTCGTTTGAAGGAATTAGACTCACCTTCACCCTCAAAATAGTATGAATGAAGTACATTTTTCTTTTTAGACTTTATTAGGTCGGATCAAGCGCAAACACGCTCGATCCAAGAGAAAGATAATCCACAGGCATCAGCACACGCACTATCAAAATACCTCTGTCAGAGGATTTTCGTTTTTTTTGCTCAATGAAATCTCTGTGGTTTTACTATGCTAGCAGACAGCATACAAACAATCTCTAATAGTCATATGACAAGCTAATATTGCATGGCAACGGTTCTCATCGTGATGTAATGATGACTCAATTCTCTTCTTTTCTGTCAGATGATGATAAAACTTTGTTTTTTTTTATATTCATCCTAGTCAAAAAAAAACAAATTAGAGTTAGAGAATAATAGAAGATGAATAATCAAAGGTAAGACAGAACTGACGAAAGTGTCGGCTGAAAAAAACACGAACAGAAACTACATGCAAAGACATTTTATTTGACCTGAAGAAGAATAAAAGCAAAGTTAAAATACAAATTTCATCATTTACTATTGGACGATGCGATTCAATCAATATCATCTCTTCTTACACTTCCAGTGCAGGTTCTCTATGGCATTTTGGGCCCACTTGATGCAGAAGATATTATTTTTTCATTTCGTTATGTTTGGAGACGATTTTACGCGATGACCAATACCTATAATCGATATACGATGAAAATAACAAGTGAATCACAGAAAACCGATATCAATCTTATCTGTCGAATAGTTCCATTCGAAAATTTCATTTCATTGGTCATTCGAATCACTTGTGACATGTCAACTCCTTTTCTATCGTGTCTTTCATCGACCCATATTGATTACTTCACTCGACTTCGTTTTGTTGAGAATTTATTGCAACAAAGAATGAAACCTGACAACGGCTTGTCTTCTATTCCTTCCATCTTTACTCTCACTTCACTATCACTGATTATGAAGAACAATAATCAGTTACAAGATGAGACAATTGTTCGTCTTTCTTCGATTATCGGACCGTCAAAATTTCATCAGCTCATTTTATGTGTTGATATATCTACAATGAATAAAATAAATTGGTCAAATTTATTTCAATTCCATCGATTATTTATTAGAGAGTGTTTTTATCAACAATTTTGTTCTATTCTTTATCATTTATCAAATCTTCAAACATTTTCATTAAGCGATTGTTATATCAATGAAACTATTCAAAACGATCTTTTCAAAACCAAATCTTCGATTGACTTCGTTGACATTGAGAAATGCGAGTATGTCAATTGATCAACTTGAATTGCTTCTTTTGCTGACACCCTCACTTGTTCATCTCGATGTAAAGACTAATCGACAAGTGTCATTCAATTTCCTTCAACGTTTCTTTCAATCGGAAATATTTCTTTGTTAAAAACTTCGTTTACTTGAAAAATTTAAGTTTGTCATTAATATTTGTGAGTATCAATTTGAAGCTATTGAATCGATTCTCGCTGCTTTTCGTACACCATTCTGGTTAGAGGATAAACGTTGGTTTATCACTTGTCAATTAATTGCCGATAATGTATCAAATTCTGGTCTTATTCTCTATTCATCTGAAGGAACATGGAATGAATTTCCTTTCAACACCCGAGAAAATGCTTTATCATACTTTACTTTTACTACAAAAGATGATAATGCAGCAAATATGAACAGTAAATGGTATGTTCGTTCCGATTTGGCTCGAATGGCAGCAGCGGTTTGTTCAAAGAAGGCATTTGTAATCGCTTCAACGACACTTCATTTTGTCTGTTTTTTAAGTTATATATCGATTTCTTTCCGTAGAAAGTTCTCTCTGATCATTGGATAGGAATCTACGTCTTAAATGGAAAGAATGATCCATGATTTTGACAACTGCTCATAGCTATTAAGTAAAAATGATTTGCAACCATCAAAGGGTGAAAAGGCAGAAATAGTCTTAGTCTATCCGAATCTTCAGAGAACATAGTTTTGGTAGGAATCAGATTGAACTGAATCAAAACATGAAAGCACTGCATTTCTATCTGTTATTTTAGTTTCTACCACCAATTCACCAGATTCGTCATATCTCTCAACTGGCAGTAGACATTGGTGGTAAATGGTGGTCTCATGCATTCGACTGTCTTCCGTTACTTATCGATCTTTCACAACTTGATGAAATCTGGTTGTTCGTCTCAAAAAATTGTTCTTTTTGCATTCGCACGATCAATATTTTGCTCAAACAAACATGCAATATTCGCACTCTCGGCCTATTCTATGATGATGATTTGGCGCCATTGATGGACGAAATATGTTCTATAGTATCCTTTCAAATAGACCATTGAAAACTAAAACCGAAGAGTATTGACAGTATGAAATTAGTTCTCGAACATGTCAATCATTTGACCAGTGTCACATTTGTACAACATTCAAGCTCATCAAATTTCTTCATGGAAATGACTCAACGGCTCATTGAAAAAGAACGATAGTTTACCATAAGTGACAATCATCAATCACTCCAGGTAACATTCGAGAAGAATACCGATAAGCCAGCAGAAAAGAAAACTGGTCACAAGCGTATGAAGTTGACTCATTATCAATATAATTCCTAATCTTTTCGGATGTTGTTTGGAATTTTTTCGATGTTTATTTAATCTCGAGTACTCAATAAACAAGTATCACTGAATATGTATTCATTATTAACAGTCAGTTTCATCTAAAAAAGCTATCATTCTCACCTGGATCCTCACCTTCAAATTTAATTTGCGTGATTATACATAAAAATCATAAAAAATGTTCTACTCGACATGTTTCTATTTATTAATGAAATTTAAAAAATTGATGTAGGAGATCTTAATAACTCACTATGACTTACAAATCCTGAAAGTTTCATCGATTTGAAAATACTTGTGTAACTTGTGGTTAAGTTCCCATAGAATATCTCTAATGTGGGTGTGGGTGTGGATTGTCTCTCAATCTACACCCACACTCAACTTTGCCCATTTCGCCCATCGGTTTTTTTCGACACAAGAGAAATTTCCTCATTGGCCTAAAAATCCTGATTACACCGCTTTTCGAAAATCATTTTCGATGTTGATGCAGAAGAAGTCATTGGTGCATACATTACAGTATAAATAAGTGAAAATGAATATTCTGTCTAATCAAAAAAAAATAGATACATGGTATGTTTCCTTAATGTAAACAAAAATGAGAATTTTTAAATGAAAAATAAAATTATTCTGAATGTTTATGCCTAATTAAAAACGAATTCTATCTAAGTTTAATTTTGGGTTTTAGTGTTGGTTTTGCCTTTTCTGACAGTCATCTGCATTCCCACACACATACCTAGTAAAAAAAACTATTTCGAACTCATACGTGAGAATCTCTATGTGTAATAAAAATATTTTTGTTAAATTTTTTATTTCCTTGTTGTTTTTTTACCAAAATGATTATTCCAAAAATAGGTGGATGTTTATAAAACACGCAGATTTTCATCCTATGATTGATTCGGAAAATTTTCCAACAGTTAACAGTCGGGTAACTTCCATGTTTTTGTCGTTCTTCTGCCGTCATCATCTCAAATAAAAATTGATTATTTAGAGAAAAAGTTTTGTGCGTTTATTGCATGTATAAAAACGAACTACAACTATTTAAAATTGATTGTTACGAGTATAAGTTTCGTGTTTTTCTACCTATTTCCGATAGAGGATCCTACCATATGCTAATGAGTATTTCATGAAAAACTAAATGATTTAAAGCTTTATATTCATCAAGAGTGTGGGTGTAAGTCTTTTCTTCACCGATTCATACCAATACGCACACGCACACCCACAGTCATCCTGTTCGAAATAGATATGGAAATAAATCTCAATATAAGTAATGTTATTATGAAGTAAGTCAAAATATAAATCATTGTCATAGTTTGAATAAGCGTGTATAATTCAATCATATTTTAAATATAACTCAACTGAATTTAAAGAAAGTCCGTGATGTGCCTCTTCACGTTCAATTGATCTTCATCAATGATAATATCATTTACAATCAAAATTTCATCAACATATTTACAATGAATTCAAGACTTGATCTAATAAGAGTGAATGGATCTATTTCGAAGCCCTCGCTATTTTATTACTTTGAAAATTTGAAATCCTTATCGTATTTTAATATGACTTTTTCAATTTTAGATATTTTAATCATAAAATCGTTTAAATCGAAGGATAATCATTCTTTGATCACTTATTAGGATACCAATCCACTTTAATTAGTTTTCACAGTTTCCAAAAATATTTTTTTATTTATATATTGACTAACAAAAAATAATTAAAATAATGGTAGACATTAATGTAAGAAATAAACATATGCTTGATAGAAAATATATTTGTCCTGTATGTTCATTGATATTACGAGAGCCTGTACAATTGACTGAATGTGGTGATCGACTATGTCAAACATGTTTAAATGCTGGACAAGAGTAAGTTTCATTATCCATTTGAAGTATTAGTATTATTCTTCATTGTTCTTTTTCAAGAACGACAATTAAATATCGGCAATGTCAAGCAGAGATATCACGAGTTGAAGTAAAATTTCCTTTCATAATCAAAGAGAAAATATATTTCTTCTGCGTAGATGATGCTTGATCAAGGTTTCACAAATGAAATGAAATCTTCTATCTTTTCTTGTTTCAAAGAAACATCTCGATCAATTTCATTCAAATCTAAACTGTGAATATTGTGGTGAACACTTCAACTCAGTTGATAAATTCAATGAACATAAAGTCTTCAAATGTCCAAAATTGATTGTTGAGTGTATATTGAAAGGCCTTGACAGTAATGAACGAGTATGAGTATTTTTTAGATACATTTAACATCGAAAAGTTCGTGTTCTTAAGTTTATTCGTACCAAAAAGGAGAATCATTATTTGATTGAACAGCATCAACAGGCCATATTTAAACTTATTCGTCAAATTTCATCACAATTCAATGATAGACAAATGAATATTGATCTTCCTCGAACAACAACTACGGGAGCTTGTATTCCTGCTACAGCTCAATTCGAAGAAGTTCATGAAATGTTGAATATCTTGGCAGGTGGCATCGAAGCATTGGCTAATAATGAACAACGTCTAAGTAATGAATCATTCCAAATGCAAATTACACTTACAATATTGAAAGAAGAATCATCGAAGTTAAAATAATCTGTTGAAGAATCAAATGCATTTTTGCAGGGAGTGAA